ATTAAGGTTTTGATTAATAGAAATATATTTTAAAAGTAAGATAATTTAAATATTGGCTTATAAAATGTTTTAACTTACCAGTTTGATTCATTACATGAACAGCTATTGTAAATTCTGAATCTCTCTCTCTCTTTCTCTGAGTGTGTGTGTGACACACACATATATATGGACCTATAAATACATAAGGAAAAAACACAAAATGTTTGTTTGTTTTTTTTGTTGTTGTTTTTGTTTTTTTAGTACTGGGCAACAAACTCAGGTCCTTGCACTTGCAAAGCAGGCACTGGAACCAGTGAGCTAAATACCCAGCCCACAAAATGTTGTAGTTCTAAAATTTGTAGTTATTTTTATAGAGTCAAAAGTACCCAAATTTAAAATGTACAAAGTAACAGGTGAAGGGGAAGTGGGAAGGGTAGTGGAAAGGAAATAAGAGAAAAGAAAAACATGAGAAAAGGAAAAAATGGAAATGAATTCTGTATAAATAGCAGAGGGTGGAGGGGGTGAAGGGAGGGCAGGGGTGTGGGGAAAAATCGAGAACCAGGATCTGTCATGTAAAGCTAGAAGATCCCAAAGATGAATGTGACTGTTCTGTATACTTAAAGAATACCAATAAAGTCCATGGGGAAAAATAAAATGAAAACAAAAGACAAATAGATTCCCCTCTTGTATACAATATATATCTAAAAGTTAAACAAAGTAGTCAAATATTTTGACACATCTTTAAATTTGGTCCTATCATTTAAAGCTTGATCTATACATGTTGGCTTGGATTAAATACGTTTTTATTGTATCTATGGGATATACTTATATGGGGTAATAAGTTCATATGTGGTCATTAACATTGTTTTCTAAATTCATAAGAGTTCTAAAACTGTCTTAATTCTTGTCAATACTGACCTGAGAATTCCATATAAAATTGTCAAAGAATCTAAATTTTGCCTTAAGAATAAAAATTCAGTAAATATATGTAAAGATTTCTATATACCTCTGGTTCCAATTATTCCTAAACTCATAGTAAATACATTTACATACTGCTTGAATAAATCTTGAATACATCTGTGTTTCTCCAGTGTACAGATCCTTTAAAATGCAGGTCTGGAGAAAGACACCTTTTTGTACTGATGACCTCCAAACTACAGTAGTTTGTGATGATGACTTTTTCAGATTTATGTTTCTGTGACTGTTCTATAATTCTGTTGTGATAGGATGATGTTCCTCCATGTTTTACATTCCAGACCATGTTACCACAGTGATTAGAGATTGGACTTTAATCTATAAAGTACATTCACCTTAAATAACACTGATAACAAATGGGATGCAAAGGGAGCAAATTCATTAAAAGTCTGTATATGTCAGTTGAGATCGTATAATTGGATCTAATTAGATGTAATAATTGGATCTAGGCTAAAGAGTAAATTTATACTAAGATAAAAGTTATGTGTTGTGTTCACTTCTACAGCATGTGTACTAAAATTTAACTGTGTTTCAGTGATAAAAAAAACCTAATAGTTTGAATAAATGTCATCACAATTTTATGAAAATGGGTTATGTTGTCCTTGATTTCATATTTTCTCTGCAAAACTTTGCAACTGTCATCTATTAACGGTCTACAAGGATTCAACTTCTAAGACTACAATGATTGATAAAAATGACCATCCACTACTTGTATTATATATTTCAAGGTACTTAATATCTAGATAAGATAACTGCTGTCTTGGGTCTTCATCAGTGAGGTTTGGAGAGCAATGCTAAAAGGTACCTATCAGAAAGCCATGCAGTGGACACCGATCACCTGCTCTGGATCTTAGGTTGGTTAAAAGGATAGCTTATTTAGTTGTCTAAGTTGGCAAGTGGGATGGCAGGGGTTTTGGGCTTATGACTAGGAAACAGAAGCCCCTCTTTGTGCTTCTTACTCTGAAACTTTGGGATGTACTACTAAATATTTAATCCAACTTTTTGATATATATATATATATATATATATAT